GAGATAAGAGTCTCATGGACTTTCCTGCCTGGGCTGGCTTTGAACTGCGATCCTCAGATCTCAGCCTCCTGAGTAGCTAGGATTACAGGCGTGAGCTACTGGCACGTGGGGCTCGAACACAATTGGAAGCCCCAGCCTCCTCCCTCAGACCTGAGGGTCCAGGCCCCAGCCCTCATAACTTCAAACCCAGGAGTCCAGACCCTGGCCTCCTCTCTCAGAAAGGGTGCATTCCCAGCCTCCTCCCTCAGACCCAGGGGTCAGACCCAGCCCTCCTCACCAGATGTCTGTCCCCTGGTCCTGGTTCTAATCACCCAAGCCTTCCTTAGCAGATCTGAGGTGCACAGCAAGCAGCTGGGAAGCCCACACTGCCATCCACCCATCATCTGGGGGATTGATCGTTTATCGCATCTCCCTCCATGATCCTGGTCACTGCTGTGGCACGGCTTCCTCTACTTCCTTCCTTGTCTGCCCCCCTCCCACCAGACCCTCTTCTCCCACCAGACCTTCCCTCTCCAGAACCTTCTCAGAAAGGTAGAAAGACAAGTCAAGGACAAAATGCTAGACAGACAGGAAGACAAGCCAAGGATAAAATGCTAGCTAGACAAAGACAGGCAGCCACGTCGATGGTCTTGGGTAGGTAGAGACTGATGGGTCTCCATCACAAACAGCTCGAGGAGCTGCCAGCTGGGTCTACTGTCACTTCAGACACCCTGTGCCCCACACTACAGAAGCACACACTTATAGTCCCAGCTCTCAGGAGCCTGGGGCAGAAAGATCAAGAACTCAAACTGGGTACGATTGGCTCATGCCTATAATCCTTGCTACTGTGGAAGCTGAGATGTGAGAACCAGTGTTAGCCAGGGAAGACAAACTCCAGAGACTCTTAGCTTTGACCAGCAAAAAGCTGGAAGTCGAAATGTGGCTCAAGTGGTAAAGCACCAACCATGATGGGGGGAAAAAGAAGACCTTTAAGAGCTTTCTCTTTGGCTTAAGCCCCCCGCAAACTTACAGAGCTCCCACCAGCACCCAGCACCCCAGGTTTCCCCAGGGCCCCAGGTCCTGATGTCGTGGCTTACCCATGTCCATATATCTCCTCCAGATATCAATATCAGAGCCTGAGATGGGCTGGATTAGGGACGTTGAGTCATAGAAAGAAGAGCCAGGCTGTACTAATAGGAAACTCACTCAGAGTCCTGACCCCCCTCTTAGGCTGTAACAAGTGGTCACGTTCTTAACCTTGCACTAATGATTTGCCCGGAACTCTAGATTAGTACACTCTGAGCAAATACCTCAAGAAAAACATCTGTAAAACTCATCCTTGGACTCAAATGAGACTTGGTTAAAATAGAAGAACTAGTTGCTGGAGATGGGAGTTTTTTGTTTTGTTTTGTTTTTTGGGTCTGGTCGTGGGGCCTGAACTCTGGGCCTGGGCGCTGTCCCTCAGCTCTTCAGCTCAAGGCTAGCGCTCTACCACTTGAGCCACAGCACCACTTCTG